GGTCACTAAACTGAAGCTTATAGTTAATAGTTTTCTTAACTTTTATGCTTAATTTTATATTTATTTTTTTCTAAGGTTTTAATAGTTAAGTACCATCTCATCTCTTCTGATTCATAATGACCTTCTAGATTTTTTTCTGCAGAGCAGATAGCTAAATGAAAAAGAGGTAGTGAACTTTAAGGTAAAACACTTCCAATTGCTTCTATGTATACTACATGAATTAAAAGTGCTCACGTCCATGGTAGATAATAAATATAGTCTGAAAAATAGGTATGCATGAAAGAATGGTGCTTTGTGAGAGAGTTAATTGGTTGGTATAACGTACTTGGTATAATTCAAGCGCTCCCGATGAGATGGATTGACACAGTAACTGGAGTAATGAGGGCAGATTTTTCAGAGACAGTGAGATTTGCCCGGGACAGAGCAGGGTTTACAGCTATAGCATACAGTGTCACTAAGAGTCATAGTCGACTTGATGGCACATAGTCGACTCAATGGCACATAACAACAATTAAACTTTCCAATCTATCAATTTTTCCTTCTCAGTCATGTCTCAGATTTTTTTTTTTTTGGTACTTTTTACAAAAAGTACTATTTAGTACTTTTAGAATATTAGTCACTAGCCATAGTGTATCAAGGTGCTTAGAGGAGAAACTAAATTTTATTTTGCATCTAGGTAAACTTCTGTGTGCATTTAGATTTGATTCAGGTGACTGGATAAGGCATCTTCCTCTGAGGTTCTGCATGCCTGGGGAACTGTGTTTTGTATGTAGGGGGATCTTTGCAAGCTGAACATTGACATTTACACAATTTTTTAGAGCTTATGTCTATCTCTAAACAGCAACTGACAATGTTGTGACACATTTCTTTTCCAAGCAGTTTTAATGACCTGGGCAGATAAATCTTTCTTTAATGACCTGTGGGAATTTTGTTTGCTTCTGGTATATTTTTAACTTAATAGCATTTTTTTAATAGAACCTAAGAAGTATAAATAAACTGTCTGTGAATTTCTGGAAAGTAGGTCAATCCATTTAACCATAATGAGAAGAAAATTTAGTTTCCAAAATGGAAACATAGAGGTGTCTGGAGAAGACGCTTAGCATATTAATTTAGTGTAGATATATCTCCTTGTACAATTTTACTATAAAAGTAACCCCTCACCTCCAATGCTAGTGATATTCTTGCTTTGGCTAACTCAAATAACACTTGAGCTCTTTATCTGGAGGGGCTGGTTTCTTATAAGAGAATTTCCATTTGGTTGGTAACATGTCAAGTCCAGCCAATTAAATATTTTGCTCGTAATTATGTTTGGAAAAAATTGAAAAGAGGTAATTAATGACCCATTAAAATATAACTTTAAAGTTAGACTGAAGCTATATTTTTAGGTTATGCTGAGACTCTTACTAATACTGCTTTCTTCCAACTTTAGAAAAAAATTTTCTCTGAATAATTATAAATTTAATACTGAGGCTGTGCTACATCTTTAAACTAGCAAATTAAATTATCAGGAACATAATGTTACTTAAGAAATTTTTGCTTCTTTTGGTAGGTGACAAATTCTTGTCTGCTGGATGGAATAAAGACAGACCATTCTGATCTACAGGGAATGTTAAAGTGTGTGTTACTGATAAAATATTTAGAATTGAGATCTTGTATTCTCGCTCAAAACATCAGTTAAAACTGACAAGCTCTTAAGTTAGCACTTGACAAATTTTCTTATCCAGAAAATGCAGTAAAAGTCTGCTTTTGCCTAACTGTTGGAGAGAAAGACTTCCCCACCCCCCAACCTAACAAATTCTTAATGACTATTGTCAGTAGAATTTTACCCAGAAAGATATGTTACTTTCCTAGCACGTGATTGTAGTTGATAAGAACATAGAGCAAGGGAGCTTTGGTGGCCTAGTGGCAAGAAGCTACACTGCAATCCCAGAGGTACACAGTTTGAATCCACCAGATGCTCTGCTGGAGAAGGAGGGGCAATCTCCTCCTGTACCAGTCAGATCTGATTTGACAGTACACACACACACAAATAAAAAAAAAATAAAATAAAAAAAAAGAACATAGAGCAAAAAATGAAGACATGCAAGAGAAGCAGGCCTGAAAAGACTCTTAGAGTTGGAAGTAGCAGAGCAGATGATATGATTCTAAACCAACACCTCATTTTATAGTCATGGAAATGGATATCTGCAGATTTTGTCCTGGAATGACACATCTGGCATAGTTGATTAAACTTGGGAATTAAAGGTATTTTCCTATCCTAGCAATGTTCCAATTCTTTTTTTGAAAAAGAGCAAATAAACATGGTCTCTCATTTGGAAGAGAAGTTCTTCAAACCTTCTCCTCTGAGCTTTCTCTGTCCTTGTCAGTAGCTGTCATGAAGCCAGCTTCAACTCACAAAGACCACAGAGGTGTACAGAGCAAACTGCTTCGTCCATGGGTTTCAACCAAACATCAACTTGTAGTCTAGTTAGTGGTCACGTCATTGTTGACACCACCCAGGGGCATGTTCTCAAGCCTTTGCTAGAACAATGTCAGCATTCCACTGTTCACTCACCCCACTTTTTAAGCCTCACATCCTGCAATGACACCTTTCCAGAAGTTGGCATTACAATAAGACATTGGGAAACACCATCAAAGACTAGATGCTGAGTCTCAGACACAGATGAGTGACTTTAAATCCACCATCTCAAGCCTTATTTTAATATGCATATGAACCATCCTGGGATCTTGGTAAAAATGCAGACTTTGATTCAGCAGGTTTGGAGCACAGACAGAATTTCTAGATTTCTGAATTTCTAAAATTCAGAATTTCTGAATTTCTAAAGCGCTCTTGGTTGAAGCCCATGGAGTGGGCCTAAGACCACATGTCTAGGGGATGCCTCCACACCTATCAGAAGCAGTTTTGACTTACTCTTTCTCATATTGTCACAATCTGAATATGTGTTTGTGTGCTTGGCATCTTCTGAGATCTTGGTATGTTTTGTTACGTGCACATAATAACTCATTCTAACCTCATAGCTAAACACATGAATATGAATTATTTGTCTTATTGTTCAGATGAGGAAACTGGAGCTCAAAGCAGTTTTAAAACTTGATCAAGCCAAGATTTAAATTCAGGGCTTTTCGGGTTTTTTGTTGTTATTTTTGTCTTTTCCATTTCAATCCTATCTCAGATATATGGGGGGGGTTTCCCCCTAGAAGAATTTTCGTGTATTTTTTTTTCTTTTTTCATGAAGGCCCATATTCCCACTAGGGAAGATTGCCATGTTATTATCACTGTTCTCTGCTCTCTCTTCTTAATCTTTTATTAATTTTAATGAAAGTTTACAGAGACTTTGGATTTCGTGGGTACCTGGAACCCTGTGTTGTTGTTTTGTACTGTGGAGTCAGAATCGATCTGTAGCTGACCCTCTGGTGGGTTTTCAGAGACAGTAAATTGCATGGGAGGACACTGGGCATCCTCCTGTGGAGCAGCTGGTGGATTCAAACCACATGCCTTCGGGATTGCAGCGCAGCTTCTTGCCATTAGGCCATCAGTAGGTAGGGAAGTCATTCCCACCGCTCACCTCAGGTGAACTTGGTGAGCTCTAAGAGTTGAGTTTCAAGTCCCACTGCTCTGAGACTCGTGAGAGAAGTGCACCTGGTGAATCAGGCTTGTGTAATTGAGGGCACGCCTGTTGGTCCTATTCAAACAAACCCTTCATTACCAAGCTGATTCCAATTTATTATAATCCTATAAGACAGAGTAAATTAAGGAGCTCTCATGCTGTGCTGTAATGCGTTACATGAATGCTGGGCTGGAAAGGAAAAGGTCAACAGTTTAAATTTATCTCTGAAGGAGAAGGCCAGTCTCCTTAGAGACCCAACGGAGGGTTGCCCTTAGTTGCCATAGACTTAATGGCAGTATGTAGGCCCTTTTAGGACAGAGTAGAACTACCCCTTAGATATTCCCAAAGCTGTGACATTCACAGAAGATTGCCACATCTTTAATCCGAGTTATCAGGCTTTTTTTTTCTTTTTCAACATCAGTGGCAGAAAATCCAGAACTGAAGAGATACTGTGAGTTAAAGCTTGACTCCTTGACTCCAAGGTCTTGCAACGACAATCAGTTCTATGTTTGCATTTTGGGTGAATTCCAGAAAGCACTGCGTCTTTGTTCCTGTTACTTCATTTCCCACAGAATGCACATGACCACTGCACCTGTTCTTTTAAGCTTTGGCAAGGAGAATTGACTTAATTTCTGAAGTGTACACAAACTTGGTTTTCTACATTAACAAACTGTGGCTTACCCTAATCTTGATTGTATTTCATCAGAGGTCAGGAAATGAAGATTAGATAAGAAACTAAGGCCGTTAACAAATTTATTAACAGAGAAAAGGGAGAAGGATAAGATAAAAAAATTTGTTTTTATATTATCATTCTCTATTCAGTTCTTTTTAATTCCATGTTGTACTTTAACTAACCCTTTAGCTCGATGAGACTTATAGTAGACCTTGCCTCCACAATGTTTCCTGAAGGGTGTGGGGTGGTTTTTTTTTTTTTTTTTGCAAGTTAATTAATAAAAGCTGCTATATTAATTCCTGGTAACTTTCTCAAATTACCATAACAGCCTCTCAATCTACAAAATCCTTTGGTGCTTTGATGTGTGCAATTTGTTCTTTTTTTAAACTGAGAGAGGGAACATACTTAGAAGAATGCAAGACATAGTTTAAAGGCTAATTACTAATTCTAAGCAGCAGAACATCATCAACATCCCAGAAACCATGTTCCTCGCCAATCACAAACCCTGTTCTCAGTACAGGTTACTTCTATCCTGTGCCTGTCATAGTGACTTTTGCTGTTCTTCATAGTTTTACCTCCTATGTGTGTGCAAGTTATCTTTTTTTAAAAAAAATATTATAAAAGGAATTATACCATATGGTGTGTGTTAAATTGTTCTTTAAACACTACCCTCCCCAACCCCCCATATTTTCCCTTCAGAAAACCCTGAACCAAGAGTCATGGCAGCCAAACCCAAGCTCTACTACTTCCGTGGCCGGGGAAGAATGGAGTCAATTCGCTGGTTGCTGGCTGCAGCTGGAGAGGAGGTTGGTTTCTGGTTGGGAAAAAGCAGGCATATAATTGGAGGGAGACTGATTTAAACACCTTTCTCTTCTGGATCCAGGATACAATTCAGCCTCCAAGTTGTATCTACATGCTCCCTTCCCAACTGCTCTTTTATAAAAAGGGATTCTAAGTTACTGTCTAAATAGAGGTTGAAGGGAGAGGCTTTCTGGAAGTTTCACAGAGTGAAAAGGCTCTTTCTGGATTCCTGGGCAAAGAGGAAAATCAGGTGTACACACTCATTCTCATTCTCTCTGTTAGAACTGCCTTTTCTGGAGCCCTAGCTCTGTCTCAGCCACTCAGTTATGCTCTACTCAGCGACACCAACTCAAATTTAAGATTTAATCATGTCCCCCACTAGGATCCTCCTCTGAATGACCCAGGCCAATCCCATAATTCCTCCCTTATCTCTGAATTTATACTCAACTGACTTTTCATGAGATTCCCACAAGTACCTTGGCATTGTTCTGTTTTGTGCAGGTGTTGTTATTATTATGTGCCATCAAGTTACCTGTAATTTACAGCAACTCTGTGTACAACAACCCTGAAGCCTGTCCTTTCTGAGCCAGTCTCACTGACTGCAACTCACCTGCCTTCATTATCCCTGTTACGGTGTCTTTTGCTCTGTCCCTCCACTCTTCCAACCATGTCCTTCTCCAAGGACTGGTCCCTCCTGACCACATGCCCAAAGTATGTGAGATGGAGCTTCAAAACTCTTGCCTCCAAAGAGAAACTTGGTTCTCTCCTCTCCAAAACAGATCTGTTTGTTTTTTTGGCAGTTCAGGGTATGTTCAATACTCTCTCCAGCCTACTACTCAAAGACATTGATTCTTCTTTTGTCATCCTTAGTCATTGTCCAACTTTCTGTTGCATAGGTAGTCATTGAGAAAAAACATGACTGAGATCAGGTGCACCTCAGTCTCTAGACTGACACCATTGCTCCTCAGTACCCTGGAGAGATCCCTGACAGCAGATTTTCCCAGTGCAATTCATCTTTTGATTTCATGACTGCTGGTGCCAAGAGTATTGGTTGTGGAACCAAACAAGTTGTAATTGTTAACAATCTCAATCTCTTCTCCATCTCTCATGATGCTGCCAATTGGCCCAGTGATGAGAATCTTTGTCTTTTTGATGTTGATCTTTAATCCATATTGAAGACTACAGCCCTTGACTTTCTACAGGTGTAGACTTCTTTTCCATTTGCATCCCATCTCTTCTGGACTAGCATGCCTTCTTTGTCAGTCCCTCTTTATGTCCCTTTGAAGTTCTCTTTTTCTTAGGTGGAGACTTCTCAATTGACATTTCTCACCTGACCCCTGCCCTGCACCCATTAAGATTTGAAAAGAAAAAAAAAGTCATTCCTTCCCACAAAAAATTTTAGAATCATCTAAGTTATGATCTTTGGATACCTTGCACTGAATATGTGATCATCCAAGAGGAATAATATTTGCCTTCACACAGAGAGAAAAGATGGAGAATAAATATAAGAGAGTAAAAGGAAGAGGGTAGATCATTGGGAAGATTGGGGGGTGGGAAAGACAGGTATTTGGGGAGATGAAAAAGTCAATTTGAAGTTATGGGGAATTATGAATAAGGAGTAATATAAGCTTTTAAGTAATAAACATTTAAGCTGGGGGAGGTAGGTTCTGTTAGTCATTGTTAGGTGCTGTCGAGTTGAGTACGACTCCTAGTGACTTTGAACAACCGATCTGAATGCTATCCTGTACCATCCTCATAATTTCTGACACATTTGAGCCCACTGCAGCAGTGACTGTGTCAATCCATCTTAAGAGTCTAACTCTCTTTGGCTGAACCACCACCTTTCCAAGCATCACGTCTCCTTCCAAGCAACATGCTCAGAGTATGTGAGATGAAGCTTTGTCATCTTTGCCTCCAAGGATCATTCTGGCTTTACGATCTCCAAGACATATGTGTTTATTCCTTCAGCATTTCAAAGGGTTTTCAGCACTTTTATACAACTTCATAGCTCAAATGCATCAATTCTTCTGTCATCCTTATTTATTGCCTAACTCTCAGCTGTATAGCAAGAGATTGAAAAGACCACGGCCTGAAATAGGTGCACCTTAATCTTAAAACTGATTTTATTGCTCCACTTTGGAGAGATCCCTGACTGAAAACTTTGTTAAAGCAGTACATCTCCTGATCTGTTGGTATCAATGGTGCTGACTGTGGATCCAAGTAAGAGGAAGTCATTGACAATTCCAGTCTTTTCTCTACCTATCATGATGATGCCTTTTGGTCCAGTAGTGACAAGTTTTTTAAGTTGGGGGGGCAGGGAAGATAGAGGTTCTAATCTAAATTAATCCAGACATGTGCTGTCAGAATTTCCCCTGGGTGGCAGTATCACAGAGGTGGTTCCTATGTAGACTTTTCATTCTGGAAGCCAGAGGATATCCTGTAAAACAAGCATTTCTTTCTTTATGACCTTAAATTATAAAAACAATAACAATGTCTCTTTATCCTTTACCTAGTTTGAAGAAGAATTTCTTGAAAAAAGAGAACAATATGAAAAACTGGGAAAAGGTGAGCCTAGGTTTATTTGTTTGACACCATTTTATTAGAAGGATAGAAACCTGTTTCTGGAAATGCTCATTTTATGTAGAGCACAGAACTCTAGGCAAATATTAGAAAAGGCATCCATATGGTATGACTGGTGAGATTTCTGATTGTTCACTGTGTCTCTGCTCAGAACTGAGATGACTCTGTGTATTACATCTTTGGCTGTCACAGATTACCAAGTAGGTTACACCATAATCCTAGTGAGATAGGGTTGACCTGTGAGAATTCAATACTTACCTTCCTAAGGAAGAATCCTTCATTTAAGTTTCATTATCTGTAAAAAAGCAAACAAAAAAATCATATACTTAATTTTATTTAGTATTTATTACTGATTTTATTCAATGTTTTATTTAATTTCATTCTTACAAAACCCTGCTCCACAGGTCTTACTATTTTAGGAAAAAAACAAAGTGGAAACTCAGCAAAGTAATTTGTTTAAAGGCACACAGTAGCAAAGGGCAAACTCAGATCTGCCAGATGCTAGAGCCTGGGTTTGTGTGGACATGTCCTTTCTCCAACAATGCACACCTAGGGTGGTAACTGGTGTGCCTTTTGAGAATGGCAACTCCCAGACTCCACTCCTGATTCAGAACATCCAGGAAATGGAATGGGTATTTTTTTTCACTATTTTATTTACAAAATTCTAATACAAAATCGAACAAATTCTTTCAGTTTCCCTCCCCCTCCCCCATCAAATTGTACAATCCAATGATTAATCCCCCTTTCTCCCTGCACATCCACATCCCTCTGCTTCCAACCTCTCCCACTCCTCCTGGATCGTTATACTCATTCTACAATAACCTTCTTATACAATATTTATCCTTGTGGGACTGAGTTAGTTCATGGAGTGGATCTTTTTAATAACTTTTCAAATGATTCTTATACATCTTAAACTTTGAGATCCAGAACCACTTCTAGTATAATACAGAACAAATAGAGAAAGTCTTTAATTGTGTTTTGCCAACACAACAAAAAACATGCACGAAACCATTAAATAGATCTCAAAATTGCACAAGGAGCAAGTGGTCAACATTTCCTCAAATAACTTTAACTCACCACTTTGGATAACTACTAAATTGCTCTCCTACGATTAAAAGTGGATCCCTGCTGGCTTACTTCAGTCATGGTCCAACAAAAACCCCTCAAACTCCTTGTCATCGAGTTCAAATATGACTCATAGCTGACTATCCATTGGGTTTCCAAGGCTATACATTGCCATAAGGCTATACCCAGGGTAGGAAAATACACTAACTTCTCTTTGCTCAAATAACAGAGGGATGCCTGCTTTTTGGCCAAGTGCCTTTGGTTGAAATGGATGGAATGATGCTAACACAGACTCGAGCCATCCTCAGCTATCTGGCTGCCAAGTACAACCTGTATGGGAAGGACCTGAAGGAGAGAGTCAGGTAGGTACTACAGTTACGTGTAAAGGAGATGCTTACCAAGCTTCTGCAATCCTGGGCCAGTTGAGACTTAGTTCAGACACAACCTTGCAGCCTGGAGTGAGGGAGGAAAAAAAAAGAGGTGATGCTGTTACTAGACCTGACATGCTCTGAGGGGAGCTCTGAATAACTCTAGGATGCCAATTGCAACATTCACTATCCTCATATTCTCTCAGGATTCCTTACTAAATTTTCTCTGAGAAAATGCCTATTCTATATGAGGGTAGAAATTACTGACTCAGTACTCTTCTCTGGCTCTTAGTAATCCTCTGTACAACATGTTGAAAACTTGTTCAATCCTGTGTCCTTCTTACAGTCTCTGTTGTACTTAAATGCATTGTCACGGTCACCATCTAATTTAACTCTGAGGATCTTCCTTTCTCTTGTTGATCCTCCACAGTCCCAAGAATAATGCCCTTCTCTAGGGACTGGCCCCTCTTCACAGCACGTCTAGAGTAAGACGAAAATCTCACAGCCTTTGCTTCTATAGAGCACTCTGGCTATAGTTTTTCCAAGACAGATGTATTTGTTCTTTTGGCAGTCCATGAGATATCCAATACTCTTCACCAACAACACAATATTGAGCATAACTTGTGATTTATTACCATAACTAATGAGCTTTGAGGTGTAAAATTAATAACCTCAAATACAGTCACTTATGTCAATAAGCTTTTATTACTGCTTATTTAGTCTATGAGATGACTGGGTCAGTATACTGATCTGGGCCAGATCCCTCTTATGTCAACAGGACTTACTTTTATGTCCAAGGTTAATCAGCAGTCAGCAAGGTAACTGGTTTGGGTCAGTGACTGAGTGTCAGTAGAGGTGATGGAAACAAATGGGCCATGCATGTCTCATTTATCCTCTTTTTTCTGAACTTGTTCTCATGACAGAGAGAACAAGAGTGGAAGAGCACAAGGCCTCTTAAATTCTAGGTGAAGAACAGGTTCCTCATAATTTCCACTACCTTTTATAGGTTAAAGCAGATAATCAGCTCAGAAGGGGCTGTGTTCAAGGAGTCCTGGATTGCGGGTTTCTTTTAAAATTTTTATTTTATTTTATTATCTTTTGTGTGTGTGCCATCAAATTGGATCTGACTGGTACAGGAGGAGATTGTCCTTTCTTCTCCAGAGGAGGATCTGGTGGATTCAAACCACACAACTCTGGGGTTGCAGTGCAGTTTCTTGCCACTAGGCCACCAGAGCTAGCCAGGAGTCCTGGTTTTGTAGTAAATTAAGGGTTAGACTGCTAACTGCAATGTCTGCAGCTCAAACCCATCAGCTGCTCTATGGGATAAGGATGAGGAAGTCACATCCCAAGAGGATTTGTTGTCTTGGAAACTGTAGAGAGCGTTGCCGCAAGTCAGAATTGCTTCAGTGACAGTTGGTTTGGTTTTATTGATGGAAGGAGCCACCATGTCTCATTGCAAATACTAGAGGTTGTGGCTGTATTTCTGTAGTCTACATACAGCAAGCATCTACTCTGTGCTGTGCACTACATTAGGCTTTGCTGAAATGACTGCGCTATTATTCCCAAGAATAGTTCGTTTAATAAGAATTAAGCTGATTTAAGTGAAAATAGGATTGGAATTATAAAATGTAATTGGATTAAGAAAGTCAAGCAGCCTGTTTAGTGAGCCTTGAAAACTCATTACCATAAGCGCAGATATAGTAAGACATATATTATACATACTTACTATTATAGATATGGGGAGAAAATCTTGCATTTAGTTGTTAAGAGACAGAGGAGGGGAAAAAAGAAGAGATTAAGAATGAGCAAACTTCATAACAAGTCACAAACTACTCCCAACATTCTTATAGATTCATCTTTAAAACAGGCCTAGGTATTGCAACCTGTAATTACAAACATAGTATATACATGCAATTATTTTTCTAGCAATGTAAAAGAAAAATCAATAATATATAAAAGTCTGTTTCTGATGTTGTTGGATTTTTTCTGGGTTTGGTATACATTGTGTTTTACACTATTTCTCATTCATGTTGTATTTCATAAATTTCTCATTCATTATGTTTTATAAAATTAATCACCACTGGACCTTGCCCATTACTACCCTGTCTTTTCACCCAGATCCTTCCCATTTCCTTACCCACACAACCTCCCCACCAACCATGTTTTTCATTGTTTTTTTTTCTTACAAAATCTCCATTTTCTTCCAATGGCTATATCAATGGTATAAAGAATGCCGTTAATAATCTTCCCTGGGTTAACATAGATTATAACAGACTAAGGTAAATGACGAAGCAACAGCTAACATAAAAGAAAAATTATTTCCACTTCAGATAGAACAATGACAATGAATTACTCTTTTAAAAGACAAAATTTGTTCAGCGATAAGCACATTGTGGGAGTATATTAAGATAAAGAAATCTGTATCTATAACAGAGCATGATTTATACCAGTAGGCCAACAACCGAACACACACCAACCCACTTCCATTGACTGAATTCCGCTCATGACGCCTCTCCATCAAGTTTCTGAGGCTGTAAATCTTTATGGGAGCAGATGGCCTCATCTTTCTCCCTCGGAGCAGCTGGTGGATTCTAGTCATCAATCTTTTGGTCAGCAGGCCAACACTTTACCCACCATGCTACCAGAGCTCCTAACAAGCCAATAAATATAGTAAGCCTGAAATTGTTGCTTTTTTAAAAAAGGATATCATGGTTAGTGTTCTCGAATAAAAGAAAATTTTTAGAAGTAATGAAATAGAGCTACTTGACTGACCTGGCTAGGAAGGAAAACTTTTTTTCAGTTGCTCAGTCAACGAAAGAGCTACTAAATTGTGTGTCTTCTCTAAATCAGTACTAATAAGTTGGCCCTTTAGGTAAACTTTTTTCAGTTGAATTTTTAAAAGCACAGTATCCCAATTGTTGAGCAGAATTCAACTTAAGACAGTCGTTAATTCTTTTATGCATTCCTTTATTCAATAAACACATGCAGAATGCCTGCTAGGTCACTAGTCACCATTAATCATTCCTGAGAGGGGAAAACTCAAGGGAAAGAATACAATATTATTGGTTTCAATTGAAAATAATTTCTATGGAAAAGAATTCCTCTGGCAAGCATGTTGTGCCTCTGACCAAACACCTGAAATCCATCTTTTAGATAACTTTACCATTATCTCAGCTCAAAAGTATAAGTTAGGCCCTTACTAGCTTTTATTGCACATGTAATGACACTATACTAAAATTACAACTGCACTTCCTTCATTTTCACTGGTGAAAGCCGATGTGGTGAAAATCGATGATGTCCTCAAAGTAATTTCTTTCCCCTTAGTCTCTTTTCTTTCTACACTCAGGAGAGCAAGTTCACTCAATCTGCCTTGATTTGTGGAGTCTCTCAAATACAAAAGCATTGGTTTTAGAAACTAAGTGACACCCAGGGCCACTTTTTCCTCTGCATTACAGAGTCAGAGCTGACCCATAGTGGACCATCCAGTGGGTTTTCAAAGACTTTGAATCAATCACACGAGAGAAGAGTGCCTGTCTTTCTCCTGTGGAACAGCTGGTGAATTCAAACTGTCTTCGGGTTAACAGCTCAACTTTTTACCTATGAGGCCACCACAGTAGCTCCCTTAAGGGCTAAGTGACATAGAACATAAAAGACAAAGGATTTATAAAACAGATAGGCAATGAAAAGGAATGATTTCTTTATATTTAGATAGACCTCTGGCCCGACAACTCTTTATTGCATTGGATTAGGGAACTTAGTATCCTTTCTAATAGAGAGTCATATTGTGTTTTGCCAGGATTGATATGTATGTTGATGGCACATTGGACTTGATGATGATGATTGCAGTGGCTGCATTCAAATCCCCCGAGGAAAAGGAGGAGAGCTTGGCTTTAATTGTGAAGAAGGCAAAAACTCGCTATCTACCCGTCTTTGAAAAGGTAGGCTACAGGGATCAGAGGTTTTTACAAAATATTTAAGAGGGAATACTTGAAAAGATACAAGCGATATTAGAGATTTACTGTTTTCGAAAGCACATTTTAATAATTCCAGAACAAAAATTAGGGGAAATTATAATAACACCAACAAAATAGAATTAGAATAAACCAGTTGGAATGAAAGAATATAGCAATTCTATCCTGTGATTTTAAAATAAACCATCAGTCCGAGACATCACTGCCTTGATGCAATTCATTGTGTCTGATAATTTCTTTAGGGTAATAAACCATAATTTCTTTATGGAAACAAACCATACCACAATCAAAAGATAGTCTCATGAAGCTACAAATGTACTGAGTAATTTTTGGAGTGAATGTTAGTCAAATCATTGAAAAGGTTCCAAATCTAGTAGGCAACAGGCAATTGTTGTTGGTGGTGTTGTTATGTGCCATCGAGTC